CTGGTGTGACTGAGCCGGAGAATTTCTTGGGTCAGCTGTGCCATGAACGATGATCCGTGATCTGAAATCAGAACTTCGGGAGCGCCGTGCCGGAGGACAATGGACTCGAGGAAAAACTTGGCGACTTCAACCGCAGTCCCCGAAGGAAGGGCTTTCGTTTCTGCGTACCGCGTGAGATAATCTGTGGCGACGATTATCCAACGGTTTCCCAGGGTCGACGGCGGAAAAGGACCAAGTAGATCCATTCCGATCTGCTGGAACGGTGCAGTTGGCGGAGGAATTGGCTGCAGGAGACCTGCCGGCTTCGTCGGCGGTTTCTTGCGTCGCTGACGCTCGTGGCAGGATCGGGTGTAGAGGTGGACGGTTTTGGGGAGCTTGGGCCAGTAATAATTTTCACGAATACGGGCCAATATCCGGCTGTATCCAAGGTGTCCGGACGTCGCGTCGTCGTGACATGCTTGAAAGATCTCCTCTCGAAGATCGGTCGGGATTACCAGCCGCCACGGCGAGTTGTTGTCCCCGAAATTCTCTTTCTAGAGTACACCTCGTCGAATGGCGAAGGTTGGCAGGGCTCGTGAGAAAACACGGGGCACGGTACTCACGCGCCCTTCCAGGTGCTCCATTAAAGCTCGCAGCTCCGGATCGTCTCGTTGACGTCGTGCCATGTCATCGGTGTTCACTGCCCCTAGGAAGCACTCGTCGTCATCGTCGTCGGTGCTGCCGGAAGGTGTTTCGACAGGGGCCCTGAACAGGCAGTCAGCGTCGCTGTGCTTGCGTCCTGACTTGTAAACCACAGTCATGTTGAACTCTTGTAGCCGGGGGCTCCATCGAGCGAGGCGTCCTGACGGGTCCTTGAGGTTCGCAAGCCAGCAGAGCGAGAGGTGGTCTGTGACTACGCGGAACGGGCTTCCGTACAAGGACGGACGAAACTTCGTGATTGCCCAGACGACCGCAAGGTATTCTTTCTCAGTCGTGGAGTAATTTCTCTCTGCCTTGGACAGTGTCCGACTTGCGTAGGCGATGACTCGCTCGGCGCCTTCTTGTACTTGAACTAGTACCGCGCCAAGTCCTGCGTTGCTTGCCTCTGTGTGAATCTCGGTGTCCGCATCCTGATCGAAATGTCCAAGAACCGGAGGCGTCTGGGGTCGTCGCTTCAGCTCGTCGAATGCCTGCTGCTGTTCCTCGGCCCATTCGAACCTCTCGGCGTCCTTCGTGAGGTTTGTGAGTGGTGCGGAAATTCTTGCGCAATCCCGAACAGAGCGACGACAGTAGGCACGAAGTCCAAGGAATCTTCGCACGGCCTTCTTGCCTGTCGGCGCTGGAAATGACGCGACGGCGCGAGTCTTCTCTGGGTCGGGGCGAACGCCTTCGTTACCAACCACGTGACCTAGAAACTTCAGTTCGTCATAGGCGAACCGACACTTTGACGGCTTGAGGGTGAGTCCGACGGTCCGTATGGCTTCAAGAACAGCTCGGAGTCGTCGCAAGTGATCGTCGAAGTCGCTGGAAAACACTACGACGTCATCGAGGTAGACGAGACAGCTCTGCCACTTCAGTCCTGCCAGCACAGTGTCCATTGCACGCTGGAAAGTTGCTGGCGCCGTGCATAGTCTGAAGGGCATCACCTTGAATTCGTACAGCCCATCCGGCGTGACGAAAGCTGTCTTCTCTCGGTCCCGTTCGTCGACTTTGATCTGCCAGTAGCCGCTCTTCAGGTCTATCGATGAGAAGTATCGAGAGTGGCGCGGCCGGTCTAACGTGCCGTCGATGCGGGAGAGTGGGTAGACGTCTTTCTTTGTCACCGCGTTCAGCTGCCGGTAGTCCACGCAGAACCTAAGCGTTCCGTCCTTCTTCTTAACCAGTACGACTGGAGAAGCCCAAGGACCGCTTGAGGGCTGGATTATGTCGTCGTTCAGCATCTCTTGGACTTGCTCCTAAATCACCTCCCTTTCTTTGACGGAGACTCTGTACGGCGATTGATGCACAGGGCGCGCGTCGTCCTCTGTAACGATTCGGTGCTTCGCAACGGCAGTTTGGCGCACCCTCGACGACGTCGCAAAGCAGTCGCGGTATTTGGTGAGGAGGTTAATGAGCTGCCGTCGTTTCGGGCCCGGAAGCTTAGGGTAAATGTCGAGCTGCGCTGGCGACGTACTGCCTTGCTGAGGTGGCGATGATTCTTCAGCAATCGCGGATATTTCGGCGGAGTTCTGAAGTTTCTCGACGTGGCCCACAGCGGCACCTTTTGTGAGGTGTTGCGTTTTATTTCGGAAGTTCGTCACGAGGACCACAGCCCGCCCATCCTGAAGTTCAGCTACTCCTCTTGTGACGCCTATTTCTCTTCCCAGGAGCAATTGAAGGTTGCCTTTCAGGACAACTTCGCCGCAGGTAGCTGTATCGGCCACGACGGGTACGACAACACTTGATCGCGGCGGCAGGTTCACGTGGTCGGCAGCGACTCGGACGGCGGCTGACGCTGTTTGGGGTTTTTCTGAAGGTGGCACAGGCGTCCGCAGCGTCAATTTGTTTTCATGAAGGTCGATGACGGCGCCGTATTCAGGCAGAAAATCCATGCCGAGAACGACGTCCCGGCACAGTCTTGTAGAATGACGAATTTCACAGGGCACGTCTCACCATGGATCTTGACGCGAGCGGTGCATCTCCCGACTGGTGTGATGCGATGCCCTCCGGCAGTTCGTATTTGAGGTCCACCGCACGGCGTCGTCACTTTTCGCTAGTGGCGAGAGAGCCTCCCACTCAAGACGGAGTAGTTTGCTCCGGTGTTTACGAGTGCCGAGGCGTCGAGGCCGTCGATAACAACGTTTAGGCTGTTGGACACCGTTGCAGGGAAGTCGGAACAATGCGGGGCGTCTGTAGAATGGGAGCGTTCCGGCGTTCTTGGAGGCTCTTTGCTTCCGTCGTTTTCGGCAACGTCACCTCCAGGCGTTGCCGCACGTAGTTTTCCCGGCGACGCAGGGGAGAAAGGCTCTCTCGGCGGGGTCGTTGCGCTGGAAACGCTGAACGTCGTGGCGATGGGGAGCGGGCTTCACGGCGGAGAGGCGACACTGGGGAGGGCGAGCGTCGGAGGTACTACTCAATGTCGCGAGGGCGTTCGTCGTATCTTGGGCGCGGGTCGCTCGGGTGGAACCCGCGCAGCCCCAGTTGTCTATAGGGGCATCGACGGTAAATGTGGCCGGCACCGCAGTGATAGCATAACGGGCGTCGATCGGCCGTCCTCCACACGTCGGTCTTTCGTGGCGCTGCTTGTTCTGGCTGGGCGTGCGCCCGATTTTCCTGGCGTCGGGAGAACTGAGGCGCTGAAGGTTCACGTCGGGGTGGTGCTGTGACCTGGTGGTGATCTTGCGGCGGTCGTCGGGCCATGGCGGCGTAGGTCAGTGTCGGTTCTTCGGGTGCCGCCACGGTGACAGGGGTACCTGGTAGAAACGCTCGCTGAACCTCGTCTCGGACGACCTCGGCATTGGAGATAGAGGCCGGGCGTTCAGCAGTCGGCAGAAGCTTCCTAAGCTCATCCCGGACGATGCCGCGGATGATGTCGCGAAGGCCGAGGATGCAGGGCTGATGTCGTAGCCCGATGCGGAAGCAGCAGCGACGCTCGAGTGCCGATGGTAGTGGCTGGCTCTTGCGAGGAGGGCACGTTCCATGTTCGAGGCCTCCGTGACGAAGTCTTCAACGGTGAATGGGGGGTTGCGAACAAGTCCACCGAAAATGTCATCTTTAACACCTCGCATTAGGATCCGCAGCTTTTTTTTGTCGGTGGCGTGAGGGTCGGCGCGAGCGACCAGGCGCAGAACATCCTCGACGAAACTGGCGATAGTCTCGTTTGGTTTATGTGTCCTCATTCGAAAAAGGTCCTCGGCCTTCTCCCGTCGATATGGGCTGGCGAATGTCCGTCTCACCTTATCCTTGCAGGCGGTTCACGAGATCATGGAAGTCTCGCGATTCTCGAACCAGTGCCTCGCCGTCCCTTCGAGCGCAAACTAAATACTCTGCAGGCGCTGTTCGTTCGTCCATCGGTTGTGCTGGGCCACTCGCTCGTACTGCTGTAGCCAGTCCTTGATGTCTTCATGAGGCTCATCGTGGAAGGACGCAGGCGTACGGGCAGCGACGGGTAGGACAACAACGGGTGGAGTGGCCATCGTCGCAATCTTCTTCTTTGGTTTCTGCGGCAGGGGTCCGAGTTCCGGGGGTAGGCCTTGGTTACGGCGACTTGAGCGGGCCTTCTTCTGGTCTTCTGCGAAGGATGGCCTCCCGGGGCTGAGCACGTCACTTGGCCGGCATGTTTTCGGAGGGGTACGGTCCACAGGCATAATATACAGCTACCCCGCACCTCCACCAGAATGTCATGGGGGGTGACCAAAAGAACAATAAATAAAAAGGAAGAAGTAGACGTTTCATGTGGCGAACTTGTGCCAAAAATAGAAGGGTACAAACAATAATAAGAGAGCGTCGCGGGCGTCGAAGTCGGCGTAGCAGCGGAGTCGAACGCCGGGGCGAAAAGCTGACTCAGGATTGCCAAGCGGAGCCCCTTATGTACACGCGTTGGTTTCTGGAACAGTCAGCCTAGAAGGTTCGGCGACGAAAACATTCGCACCTCGAACAAGCAACGGGATTCTCAGATTTACTAGAACACTAAATTGCAAGGGTAAACAAAAGCCGCGTCGCTCCCAGGAATCGAACCCGGGCACTTGGCGTGGGAGGCAGGCACGATAACCGTTCGGCCACCTCCGCGGTGCCTAGAGCGCGCGCGGCAATAAGATGTCACAAGAACTCGGTCGTAAGGCAAGTGAACCAGCTTTTACTCGTTCGTCGTCTGCTGGAGACCGCAAAGCATGCAGCTACGGTAGCGGAGCTATGCCGCACACGTGATCTCTGCCTTTCACCGCACCTCCTCTCCCAGGCGAGGCTCCCCTGCACGGCCATTTTGGAGCGACTTGCTCGGCGAACAGGCTCTAAACGGCGTCCATGTTGTCCCTCTGTTGCAGGTATGGTTCCAGAACCGGCGCGCCAAGTACCGCAAGCAGGAGAAGCAGCTTCAGAAGGCCCTGTCCGCGCCGTCGGCGCTGCCCCCGGCGGCCTGCAACGGCATGATGCGCGGCGTGTACGGACCCCCGCGCACGGGGGCCTACGCGGCCTACGCGACGCACCCGCACCCGGCCGTGGCCCGCTACCCGACCTACGGCACTGCCCAGGGCTTCGGGCCCCAGACCGCCATGGCGGGACCCCCCGAGGACGACTGGTACCAGCGGGGCTTCTCGGCACTGCGTGCGCCGCCCACGCCGGCCTCGGCGGCCGCCGCCTCCCAGCACCCGGTCTACCACAGCTAGGCCGAGGGAGAACACGCCCACTTTGTACAGAGCAACACAATATAATCACGCGCCCGGAGATTTCGTCGATTTCTTTGTCTCGCGTCAAGAACTTTTCCAAAAAGAACTCAACATGGACCTCTTTCTGCCAGAGCTTTTATGGATCCTCCCAGGGAAACGGGCATCTCGCAAAGCGTCGTCTGCGACGCCGAAAGGTATGCCGGGAGCGCCAGGTACTACCGATTGTAGCAGACGACATAGGCGGCCTTGAGGGCGAAGGCAGGCGGACAACTGCACGACGCTCTCGCTCTTTTCAGTGTCACGTGAGAGCAAGGTGGAGCGTACAGGGTGTGTCCGCCGTTCCAAGAAACACTCGGCCCTAGGGACAAGAGAACGTTTTTCGAGCCCAATCACTGGGTTTGTAGCTAGTCTCTCAGTGACGTCCCTGCTAACCCTAACCGGTTGGACTATTGATTTCGATAGGCCTAGCGTACGTAGGTGCAATTCCAGACACTGCTGACGGCTAAATTTTTACCTTTCTCTACTTTTTTTTTTCTTGCGTTTTATTGTCTATTTATTTTTCCGAGGATATTTAGAAGAAACATTGTACCACAATAAAAAAATAAGTAAACTATTTTCGTTGGGTACACGCGCGACAGAACCAGTGCGAGTGGACTGTTTGTTTTACTTTACGATGAGTTTGGGCGTTGCCGGCCGCTCAGCCATCTTAATCGGCAGGGCGCTTAGCTCTCTCAAATAATTTACAGCAAAAGATAGCCAAATGCATGCATATTTCACGCTCAGAAATAACATGTTTAAGGATGTACACGACCGGACTTGGACATAAAATTTCGCAGGTGTTCACATTCGAACAATATATTGTCCGTACCGCACGGTGCAACGCTATCCGGAGATGATTTATTTGAGAACGATCTCAAATGACACAGCACTGCAGTGTCGATAACATTCACATCCTTACAATCGGACGGAATCCAGGAGAACATCGTTTTAAGGCCTGTTTTGGGGACAGCTTCCTTTTTTGTCACAATATCAGCACCGAGGCAAATAAACGGGCGCGACTGATCTGTTCCAGACTCATACAGCCGTTTTTGGCGATGACGGAGAGGGACTTTATGCGGATTTTCTCTGGGAGTAAGGACAACAGTTTTCATTTTTCGCGAATTTACGTCGAGGGTCATTCAACGTCCTTCCCTTCCTTCGTTTCCCGTGAATGTCGGACAGAAACGCTTGCATAGTATAGCGCTTACCAGCCCTATTTCTCACAGTGAAAACTAGCACAAAAAGGTACGCAGCGTGCATAAGAAACATAAAGTGAAAAATTTCAAGAGAGAACAACATGACGTTCGCGCCATCCGTGCTGCCATTGGCTGCGGCCGTCGGACCGTCAGACAATCGTGTGGCGAATATCTGCCGAGTTGGTCGTTTGCGGGAGCCGAGCCAGTCGGATCCGGCCATCGTTCTGACGGTTCGTACGTCGGGTCGGGTTGTTTTTGACGCGCATTTTCATCGCGCTTAATGTGTCATTTACATTAACCACACACCCTGTATATAAATCGGACTTGTCAGCATGAGCTCGAAACTAGGGAAAGTGCTGCTTCGGGAGGCCCCCATATTATTCGCTTCTCCAAGCACTTATTGTTCTGAAGTCATTACTCTACAGCTTCATGCTTGATCAGCCACGCGCTTTAATATTTTGGTTTAGACTCTTGTAAGGTAGAGCGAGGTTGGTCCTCACTTCTGCACATTACCGGGAAACTGAAATAGTTATGTATTTAAGACAAACAAATTCTTTTTCTCGGTGCTGCGTCTTGAGAGCAACGGGCTCGAGTGTGTAACTCTGCTAGACACACTGATGCACATTAATGCACATTATGTTAATTGAAGGTTGTTTTTGTTTAATTCAATAGTTCCTACGGTGTACCAGTGTGGGACTACCTTAAGCGAATTTCTTTTTGTTAGAAATCATCGATATATCACCGCCATTACTTCTTGTTTTCCATCTGTGAAAGCAAGCAGACGACAAACATCTGCCTTCGTGTTAGCTTGAATTTTTCTAAATTTTCTGCTTAGATTTCTATACAATTCTCAATTTTCTTTTTTTTTTTTAGTTTTTTGTTATAAGCGATACATGATACGACACCCTCAGCGCATCGGGGATCTTCATAGGCTACGTTTCCATGGATGCGACCATGGCGCATCGAATCGAGATGTGACCAGTCACGCGCCCGCGATCCTCCTTTCCCTTCCTCGTCTACCCAATCATAGGCGGTTAATCTCGATTCGATTCGCTACGATCGCATCCATGTAAACTCAGCCATACACCCATTCGGCGAGGAACGTAGGGTGCTAGTCGTTTATTTATTTTTTTTTTCAATTTTATTGCGAAAAACAAAAAAACAAACAAAAAAACAGTGGTTGTGTGGCGCTAGTTTCAAGATGCTTTCTTTCTCTCCTGCCACTCCTTCTCCCTCTTTTACCGCAACCTGGCTGTGTATTGTTTTGGCGCCGAAAGCGCGGGCTCTCACTATATAGGAGGCTAATACGAACTACTTGCAAGCCTGACACTGAAGTGTAAAATCTGTATAGTCGGTGACAGGTTCAGGCGAGACTCCTCCCACCTCTCTCCACTTGAGCAGTGCGAACGTTAGAAGGAGGCGACCTCCTCTCCATCATTCGCCCTGCTAAAGGGGCAAGGGGTGGGAGGAGCTTCTCCTGAACCCTTGACATGCCGCCAACTATAGGAGAGCGCACGCTTGGGTTAGTTGGTGATGCATCTTGAATAAAAACAGCGTGGGAAAAACGAAAAACGAGACAAAAACGCCGGACATCCAGGACGGTCACCAATACACATAACCCAAATAAAGTCACGGGGTTGGATAGTATTTCACGTAGTTGGTATATGCACTTTTCAAGCCAGGATGCCTCGATGGTAGCACCACTTCCAGGATGGAGACGCGCATTGACCCCCGTAATTGGGTCAGTCTGACGTGGCAGGGCCACATCGGGTCAGTGTTTGGAGTGTGTGGATGTGATTCGTGGGCGGAAAAGTTGTATCCTTAGCGTAATTTGGACTAAATAGACCATTCGCTATATTACCCAAGCATGAAGGAGAACGCAGGGATTGGTGTTCCACGCGCCACAAGCGCACGCCTTCCCCTTATAAAAGATTCGAAGTAAAGAACCTAAATAAAGCGTCGACGAACGCACGTGCAAGATGCCATTTGTTTTAGGTATTTGCTTTAGAAAAGTTACTGCTGCTGAGGCCAGCACGTGCGGCGTGTGGAACGCCAATCCCTGCATTCTCCCCTTGATGCTTGGGTAATGTAGCAATAGGTCTATTGACTCAAGACAGCGCCGACAAGAGCAGCGGATATTCTGACCCAATATGGCGGCTGTCCCCACCCTGGACGCGGCGCTGGTATACAGGCGCCCTTTTCAAACTGATCTATTCTGACACTGTCTACTTTTTGTAGGAGAAGAGTGTTCCAATCCGATATTGTTACATGGAAGAATGAATGCTCATAAGTACCGTTGTCTGCTTTTTCTAGTTGCATTTGGCTTGAATGACGCCTGGGTACGCAGAGCGTATGTAGCGATTTGGGTTGATATTGTCGCGGATGGAAAAGGCTCGCCGAACGTAATCTAAAAATAAAGGTTTAATCGGCGAACTCGTGCCAGAAACAAAAGAAAGAACGAGCGTCGAGGGGACAGAAGCAAGCTTGAGCGAGACTGACTCGACAAGTCCATGCAGGCTGCTAATCCACTATACTGAGTATCTCGAATATTCGGCCTCGAATGTTCGAGCATGGAACCTTCGGGAGTCTGACTCGCCAAGGTGATGTTGGCCTCCTTATTTATTACCACTCAGTGTAACAGACGCGAATTTTCGAGTAGAATCGATCGATAAACGTTATCTCAAACGCCGGGCATCGGACGCCTGCGTGGGACGCCGCGTGCGTTCCCTCTCGGTCATGCACGCGGCAGAAAAAAAATATCATTCCTGAGCGCAAACAAGACTTTCACGCGGGCTATTTTTTTTTTTTTTTTTGGCGGTCGGAAAGAAGGGGGAGATTCATAGTCGTAATCAATTCCTGTACTGATTCAGTTCTGCGATTCTTTGATAATAGAAACCTAGATTGCAGCCAATCTTTGCAATTTTTCGAACTTATTCATTCGATACGCTCTGGAGAAAATCTGATATGACGGAAGCATAATCTAATAGTGAACTCAGCTGGTAGATTCGGAGCGGTTTCCAAAATTCGCGAGGGAGGCGAAAATTTGCTCCTAGGTAAACGTTTTAAATCGACGAACGGAAGATCAGGGTTGGTAGTGTCGCGGTACAAATGTATCGCGCGATAGTATATTCCATATAATTTCGAGTACCTGTATCTATCGAGATACATCTGAAAAATGGATCTGTATATCAGTAGTCGAAAACATTTACGATGTATCGCTCGATTGTATTGAAAAGCTCTGCCAGGCTGAAACTTTTTTTTTTTACATTTGTAAGTAAACGTTTGCGGGTTTCTGGCGCTGTGACTGAAAATAACGTTTTCGGCACAAGGGAATCCAAAATTTGCAATACGAACCTGCCACCTCCTATTGTACGTTCCCAACACAAACCATTGCAAAACACAACGGATTTACATTTTTTTTTTTCTATTTTAGTTGCATGGTACGCTTGGTGCGGGTCCCACAGAACGCATATTCAAGCGTTGGTCTTACCAAGAAGCAGTAAGCAGTTTCTTTTAGCTCTTTGGGAGCACTGCGTAGATTTCGGTTAATGAAATTTCACATTCTACCAGACTTTATTACAGGTTGTGTTAAGTGAGCACTAAAAGAAAGATCGCTTAATAAAATAACTTCAAGGTACTTCACATCCATGTTTCTATGTAAATGTCGATAGTTAATAAAATAACTCGATAGGAAGCTGTCGCGTTTTTTCCCGGAAGTGACGTGGACACACTTGTCAGCATTGAGACTTAATTCCCATGTCCGAC